AGCAACGCAGACACCAGTGCACAAGTATAAATGCTCACATGGCTTAGGCTTTGCATGTAGAGTCGATGGAGAAGTATATATTGGTCTTAATAGAAGTGAAAAGCTTAACGGAGCTTCCAGCTGTCCCTCAAAGTCTTGACAAAATTAATATCCGGTCTAGCCACCAGGGTTGGGTCGTACACTAAATTTGATTTAAAGAGGTGGTATAATGCTTTTTAGCTTTTTCCCTCTCCTTTATTGAGTTTTGAGTTTTTTGTGCATGTATAAGGTTTGCAAAGTGAAAATGCCCAAAGTCCACCCCAAAGGGAGTTCCCATATCCCACAGAAAAAACTCTGCTCTGAACTGCCTGAAAACAGCTCATTTGTAGTCCAGAGCTCAGTTAAAACTTACACCTTGCTAGTACCGGGTTGGACCTCCTTTTCCCTACAGAACTTAATTCTTCATGGCATACTTTCAACAAAGTGTTGGAAACATTCCTCAGAGACTTTGGTCCATATTGACATGATAGGATCATGCAGTTGCTGCAGATTTGTCGGCTGCACATCCATGATGCCAATCACCCGTTCCACCACATCCCAAAGTTGCTCTATTGGATTGAGATCTGGTGACTGTGGAGGCCATCGTAGAACACTGACAATAAATTGAGTTTTGATTACCACATCACAGATACCCACAGACTCTGTCAACAAAGACTTTTTGTCATATGTAAACTCAGGACTCTCTCAGTCATACCACACCTACTGCTTCTCCTGTACCATAGTATCATTGAACCCATCCTCTTGTACTGTGCCGCCTGTTACTTCACCATGCTCTCTCTCACCAAAATCACTTCCTCCAAAATAATAGATCTTCCCACTCCCAACCTTCCAGCCCTCATTAATACTGCCACTGCTTGTAGAGCAACTACCACAGCACAACATTCCAGCCACCCTCTCATTTGTCCACAAAACTGCCGCTCACTGGATATTTTCTCTTTTTCAGACACGTTTACTCTGTTTGCTCTGATTGTGCAGTTGTTGTAACTTCAGTATACATGCTCACATCTGCACCAAATTTGATATGGATAATAACAGTCCCGTCTTGAACACATCCATCTGCTATCATTCACTCAAAGTCATAGCGCTGCCTGCTGGCAACAGGAAATGTCATGTTTTATGCTATGATGTACTACTCCTAGCAGGTTGGCCATAGCAACTTGAAATCTGTCCCAGAAAACCCTTAACACATTGACGATGCCATGTTGTAAAACTTGTGAGTTTTTGTTTAATCGCATGGCGGTGAAGTTCCAAGCGTTGCCCTGACACAGGAAGTTGTTGCAACTTGACTGTACGTGCTCAGATCTGTACCAAATTTTAGACATTTAATAAGAGTCCGGCCCTGAACACATGTACATGCTGACATTCACCCACAGTCATAGCGCCACGTGCTGGCAACAAGAAATAACCTTTAACGAAGCAGCCCAGGTAGGTTTCACCTTCATGTATAAAATTTCTGTGGCACATATATCATGTCCAGACATGCCAAAAAGCCTCTTGGAGCGATGCCCTAAACCCAACAGGAAGTCGGCCGTTTTGAATTTTATGGTCATTTTTGGATGATTTGCGCACTCCGTACTTTAACTCCTCCTCCTAGAGATTTAGTCTGACCGACTTCAGACTTTCCCTGTCTACTCCAAAGCCATTAAAAGTTGTACAAACGGTGAGTTTTTGTGGAACGACACAGGAAGTGATGATTAACACCTTTGTGCAGCGTCCGAAGCGTGGCAAATTCACAGCTGCACCAGTAGAGCTCCAGAATCTGTAACGCGACCGTCTCCCACCTCAACGCGCTACATGTGCGTGGGCCCGCCCAATGCTGCTTGTAGCTTTAATTGAACATTGGATTTTCTCCTGTACAACTGCTGGATTTCTCCTTGACCCATTTTGTTCTCTGTTTTCTTTTGATTATCAGCTCTCCCCATCGGAGAACAGTTCTGTATATGGTGCGTAATTGGCTAATTTTAGAGCAAAGAAAAGGAAGAGTCAAGGGTCACCAGTCTAATTCAGCAGACTGTCAGCAAAATCATCAAGATAGAAAGACTCATTGTTACTATTTTTGGCTGCAAATGATGTTTACAAAACTAGTGAGAGGATAGCTTCTGCTAACCCTCAGGCCACTACAGGCCCACCTCTACTTTATCAGCCTCCTGGGAACTGCAGTGCGCTGGTTCTACCATCTGCCTTCCCTGTACAATATCCCTTTTCTTCCCCTTTTCTCCCACTTCCTTTATCCTCTCCATCTGAGACTTCAACTGATGAGACAGCCACTGATTCATGGTATTATCAAAGCATTTATATGTGTTTGGAGCAACTCTCCAAGGGTAGAACATCATTACTGACTTCATGATTTCATTAAAAGTTTCCCACTCACTACAGGACAAAGAGGGAGGGAATGCAGAACACAGTGATCAGGCAGTAGCACGTGGTAAATGCTGTATTAATTTGGCAACTGAACCATATTAACTGCTCAACCAGCAGATGTTTCAAAGATGTGGCATGATCTCTGTAGTCCCCTTTGGAAGATTCTCAGGCTAAATGCAATAGGTTAGCCTAGATTTCAGTTCTTTTTCTACAGCAACAACAGCATTAGTCAGGAAAGTCTGGAAGTACATTGGTGCAACAACATCAGTTCCTTTTAACCAAGACCACAACTGTTCCTGACATTAAAAGAGTACTGCCCTGATTTAGTATTGCACTCGGACTCATGATTGGCAGTTTAAAGGGGAAAAAAGTATCACAATTAATGCAGCAGAACCAGAGATTTTGTTTCATTACCCACAATGAAACTTGATTGCCAGCAGTTTGGTTTGAGATTAAGTGTGTAATGCTAGTAGTGGCTATTGTAGCCTGCAGCCTATAGCAGAAATAAGCAGCAGGCTACAGAGGTCTGGGGAGCTCACTTCTTTCTAACTCCATAACACGTTTTTTTCTTTTTCAAACTTGTAGTTTTCAGCCCCAAACGATGCTGAGATCACTTGAGGCAAATTATCAGACTTCACACAGCTCCCTCTGGAGACACTATATGCTTTATACTACTTTTTCACATATGCAGTAAAACTCCTCAAAATTTGTAAAACAAAAAAAAACAAACAGGAAAAACACTACAATACTTTTACACCATTCTCAAGACATTTTATGGCAAGTGAGGCTCCTGGAAAGGCAAATGTGTCACTAGTATGTTGTTGCCCATCCCAGTATCCCTAGAATTACGTCCATAGTGATGATTCCACACAACATTATATGGTAACGCAGGAAGTGGCATGCCCTTTATGTATCAAAGCAGAAAGTAAGGATGTGACAAGTGGGGTGATGAATGCTCATTTTACATTATGCTGTTTTAGATTTAACAACTGAAAGAAAAAAAATGTGTTACATTTTTAACCTAATGGTTAATATTAACAGTCTAAACATTAGCTTTGATTTATTTTGATTTACTCTTTAAAAAAAGCCAGAGTGCCTATTCACAATGAAGTTCCATAGCTAATGTAGTGAGTATCAGCTGTATATATCAAATTAAACAGATCAATCTAAACAAACATCTAGAATCATATATATATATATATATATATATATATATATATATATATATATATATATATATATATATATATATATATATATATATATATATATATATATATATATATATATATATATATATATATATATATATATATATATATATATATATATATATTATTACACAAATGTAGATTCTCATTCTGTTCTTTTTAACATTTGATGAATGAACACATGAGCAGGAACAGTGAAACCATAAGAAAGTCATTCTTCCGTGAGCGTTATATAACAAGAGTTGGTTTTCACATTGGAGCTTTGCACCTCAGATGGGGTTGAACGTGCATACTGTCATTAGGGTTTGCTTTTCTTATTAACTAACCACTATCATTCTCTTACCTTAACTATAACACACACAAATATTGTAGAAAGAACGTAATCAGGTTTTTCAGTCATTCAGTTTGGGTTTTTTTTTGTCACCTTTACAGCCTCTTGGGGGCGCTAAAAGAGCTTGCTCTTGTTCAATTGAGCATGAACAGAAGCTCCATATTGACAAAAGTCAGTGGCAATATTTATTATTATTTGTGGCCAATGTCAGAAAGCTCAACATTTGTGCTGATAATTGTGCTGACATTCCTAATAATCATATAAACATCCCATTGTAAAAAACTTTCTATATATGATAATAAATGAGAAGTCAAAATTGTTTAGGTTTCCTCAGAATGGGTCACTGTAAAGCACTCTGAAAAAAATCAAACTATCTTAAATGAAGATTCAATTTGAAAACAAATAAAAAATTACTGAATGATTCAATTAAACAGAAAATCTAATTTCATTGCGGTTGGGCAACAATGATTCAATTTCTATTTAAAAAAGAGGTCCACACTAGCAACATAAGAGCTATAGGCTTTATCGGTCTTACCCTAATGTTGATAAGTCCCATTTGTTAATTCTTTCATCCATTTCCTCTGACGGAGAGTGGCATGACAGAAAGAGACCAGATAAGAGACTGAATGCTTCACTGTAAGGCAGCATCCCAGATCAGGCTGCTTTAGATGTTCGATTGCATATTGGACCGGATTCCTGCCACTCTGCTCTGGAGATATAATGTAAGGGCAAGAAATATCAAATGCCAGTAGTGGTCTGATGGAAGAAGGGAATCAGGAAAACACTTAGTAAAGTGCTCTTGGAAATTCTGACTGAGATGAAAAAAAAAGGGATCCTTTGTAAAACTGATGATATCTGTTGGGAATCACATTAAGTATGACTCAGTTATTTCTCTCTGGATGTTTAGATCCCAACGTTTGGTGCTATAATGAACACTGGATATATGAAAAGATGATGGGGGGAAAAAAGGGATGGAAAAGGCACAAAGGGAATTGGTCTTGTGTGTGGTAGGGGTGGGGGTGGGGCGCGGGGATTGGATTTGTTTGCTATATTGCCTAATCCCCACACCAACACCATCTGTCCCCATCTACATTTGGAGACAGCTGCCAAGACCCGACTGCTGGGTACTGAAGGGTACTGGCTATTACTGGCGGGTACTAGTAGGCTACTGGGAGGGAGGCTGGGATGTCGGGGGGTTAGGACGCCTTCCGCAGCCTGTGGTCTGTACAGAGCGTACGGGGTCTGTCTCTCAAGCCGAGGTGGAGGAGGGGGGGTTAGTTGCCCAGTAGCATCAGCAGCACTGTGATGGTTCAGTGTGCTTAGAGAGGAGGGAGAGGCAGAGAGGAAACACATGGCTGCCTGTACCGCCTGCATGCTCTGACTGCGGCTTCCACTTTCCATTCACCGGCAAACAGGAGAGGCTGGACACTGGGATGCTGAGAGATGCTGCTGGGAGGCTGGAGTCTGCCATAACCACATACAAACACGCTTCGAACCAGAGACGAAGACCGGGACCAGAGACTGCTGATCGGACAACCTGCTTCACACACTGCCTCTCGGTAAGCCCCATTCTGGATTCACCTGTCATTATACCTGCAGTGTTTTAGAAACCGTAGCTGGGGATGCTAAAATTACAGCGCAGCAACAATTGTTCTCTTTTCCCACTGAGGCAGTGTGATCTGCATGGCATTGTTCTTACTTAACCTTCATTTACTTCTAATATAGGCTAGGGCACCAAAATAAAGGAGGAGCAATGTCTTACAGAATTCCATTATTTCATGTATAAACCATTGTCGGGGCCTATGTGGAAAGCGTAGCCTACTCAAGGTGACATTAGTCAGTTAGTAAGTTTTTACGATCAGCTGTTCAACTTAATGCCTCAATTAGTGCCAATAGCTTTAGCTGTTTTAAATGTGTTAGTTGTTTATTTGAAAGTTTCAGCTGAGCAAACTTTTTCTTTCCGGATTAAGCTCCCCAGTCTTTATTCCAAATATGTGAAGCACAATCAAAGTCATTTAGCTTACTGGTTAAATAATCGTGAGACCAGACTGCAAAATGTATAATATGGTCATTACAATGCAGCCATATGAGCTATAATGTCTTCAAAATAAAAGTCTTGGCTATTTTGACAATTTTGCATATTTCTGCTATTAGGCCTACTATCTACCACTCTTTAGCCCTCAGGAAAAGGATCCTATGACTAGGCTTTTTCTTGTTTAAAATGTATTTAAACATTTTGTTCTTCCTTTCTTGTGTAGGCTATAGGCAGTAGCCAAGCCTGTATATAAGTTTGCTCTGCAGCAGACTTTAAACACAAAAACACATTTTCACAATATCCCATTCTCATATTATTAATTCATATCACTTTGGTGTGGTGTAAATTTAAACATTGCATTTTCTGAAACACACGGCCGTGCAGTGCGCCTGAGAAGTTTTATCCCTGCCGAGCCGCCGTAGCGATGGGAGATAACGTGTCCAAGCGGCTGAAGCTGATCTCGGCTACAGAGGCAGAGATGGAGGAGCGCTCTTTTCCAAACCCGTACCCCGACTGGGACCAGGGAGTCCTCACCTCCAGCTCCGGAGCAGACGTAGATTACAGTGAGCCCTTTGACGTAGAAGGAAAGGTAAGAAAGTTTGTGTTTGCAGCATTTTAGCCATCTGCGGGTGTTAGCGCTGCAGACAGCGTCGTAGCAAAGACTTGCCACTGCTTACTGTATAACGTTAGCTACTTATCTAGGACTTTGGCTCGACCATTCATGAGTCTCAGCTTATGTTGTTAGTTAGCTTACTGTGTGTAAAGTCATGTCTGTCGTCACTCAGGTAGTTGCAGCACGAGTTTGTTTCTGATTGGCATCCCGTATTTTCAGCCAGGAACACTATCACATGTATGAAATGCACACTGTCGAGCCAACACCGACATATGTGCTGAGAAAACGATTTGAGTCGTCCCCGCAAGCAACAGATGACCGTTAAACGTCTGGGTCAGTTTCGGTTTAACGAGTGGCCTGTTAACTAGTGATGTGCGGATCGATCCTAAAGTATCAATATTTCTGATACCAACGTTTCCTGCTCTAGGATCGATACTCATATAAAAGGATCGATATCTAAACTCAGTAATTTGGAGTGAATGTGTGTTTTATCATAAGTATCTTGCTGTCCGCCGGATGGTCTAATTATAGGCTACTCGGTTGACAGGAACTACTTTTCCTTCCGCCTGTCAAAGTCATGCTTGCGCTACGGCTCTGTGACGGAGCTTCTTTGAAGTGAGCCGCTGCAGCCGTTTTAATATCCAGCGATTGAATACTGACTACGGCTGCCTGTAAAAACAGTCAGGTCTGGCTGTATTTTAGATGTGAAGATAATAATGACGCTGTGTGGGCAAAGACAGTGAAATACTTCGCTAAACATCTGAGATTAAGTCAAAATAATAGGATGATGTTATGAAGCGGCAGTTTTGAGCAAGATATTTTCAGTATAATTAAAGAATATGACAGTAGTTTGATGTCTTGTCATTATGCAGCTATTATTTAGGATTGGTAAGGCTACAGCCTACTCCTTATTTCTCTCATAAATACAGAAACGGGAGGAGGGAGGTCACATTAAACTAGAAATAACATATGTAAAAAGTGTTGGTATTGGTATCAGCAATACCAGCCTGGGTATTACTTGGTATTGGATCGGATAGGAATTAAGTGGTATTGCACATCACTACTGTTAACTGGTGACCGTCAGCCGAATGCGTCCGTGGTTGTCGTAGATACAACACGTTAAACCGAAACACCGGCTGGTGAACAGTAACTGCTACTAGACAATATGGGCGGGAAAACGGTCACATTTAGTTTTTGCCCTGGCAGAATGATGTAGGCCCAAGCAAATCCGTGATTACAAGGTAACTTTAGGTGAGTTAGGCTAATAGTTTGGTTTCTTTGACATGTTCTAAGCGTAGCTACGATTTAGCTCCAAGTTGGACGAGCTAAAGATCACTTCACAAGTACGAACATATCTGACTTTATTTGGAGTTTTGTGGTATTAAATCTTCAAATTGATAATGTGTTGAGTTATATTACATTTTACATTTAACGTTAGCGTAACGTTATGGCAGAGGTCGCAGCTTCTGGAGCAACTAAATTAAAGGGGCATTATGTAGTTTCCAGCGGCCACTAGCAGTGTGGTTCTAAGATTGCAACCAGGCGTGCGCTCGTATGCGTGCTCGCTTGAAGTCATGAGCGAGCATAATCCGAAACACAACCACTGTCATACAGAAATCCTGCAATAAACGCAGAAACACCAGCGTGCAGGCTGTGGCTTTTCACTCAGACATGTTCAGGCTCTGTTACTTAAATGTTCCTGTCTCAGAGGCAGATCAGCACCAGCTCCGTAAGTTACTTAATTCAGCGCAGCGAGCCGCATATCGGCACAATCCTCCCGAAAAAAGGCAGAGTGACAGCGACTATAGACAGACAGAGCTGGAAACTCAGGTAAACTCCCACTGCAACATTACAGTAATAGTTTTATCAGCTGCAGGTTGAACTAATCCATGCTCGTTACATGATCACGTTACAGTTACTGCATTTAGCCGACGTGCTACATTGTTAGCTCGCCCGCTGCCTTTCAGTAACTATCTTTACTATCTGTGAATCTGACACCGGAGGCTCAGCAGTGTCAGCACAGCTACATGTATTGGATGATAATGAAACAGTTAGACTGCAGTCAGTAACTTTACTGTAACTAGTGTTAGTGGATGGCTCTTCCTCCGGGTTGTTGTGACCGTTTTGTTGCAGTGTTTTATGTTATGTGGGTCACGTTGGTTACAGCGACTGAGAGGTGGAGAAGCTGTGTATCTGAGTATTGGTAAAACCACAATAAACATAAACTGAACGTTGAGAACGTGAAAACAGCTGCAGGTCCGAGCTACTGTAGCGTTAGCTGGCTGCTCCTGGCTGCATCACTATAGGATAACATTAGTAAACAAATCGCTCCACATTTGCTTTTTGCCGTTACATCCTTTATTGCAGGCTAAATCAACAGTGGGTACACAGGATAGTAACATGGGTGGCGTTAGTTGGTGAAGTAATATGGAAAGCTAACGTTATATAACTTTGCGTTAGCCGGCGAGCTAACGTGACTTTCTCTGTGTTTCTCCAGTTTTACTAATGCTCACTTTGTTCTTACTTGAAATCATCTGAACCTGTTTGGTCTGATGGGCTTCAGCACATAAACCTTTATCGTGTTTTGGATCCTTACGTGGAGCCTGTGTTTTGCTGTGAGCCGGTTGTTTTATGGTGTTAGTGGGCTGCATGTCGTTAGCTGCCGTGTTGTCGCTGTAGTCTGAGAGAGGCTCGGGAGCGCTCGTAGAGCTGAATCCGACCCGGAGACCTCACATTAAAAGCAGAATAGTGGCAGATGCAAGCAACGGAGAAAACAGGCGTGTGCTTCATTTCTGAGTGAGTTTTGAGTCCACTGACAATAAGGCAATGACAATTTGATTTATTAAAATCAAAAACTTGCATATAGCCCCTTTAAGGGGTTAAATGTCTTGCACAGGGACACACTGGTGGATGTGTCACAGTGGGGAATTGAACCCTGGTCTCTCACCTTTTACGTACTTACTACATAATAATGATTAATGTGAAGGTATTTCTCCTGTATTTTTGCACTGGTAGAAAAGCCATCTGTATTTGTATATTTTTATATTGCACCAAATCACAACATAGTTAGGCCTCGCTCTTTTCATATAGAGTAGGTCTAAACCATACTTTGTAATATTATTCTGGGCTCTACAGTGCAACCATTTCACACACAAATGCCCCTAAAAATAAATAACGTCACAGTGTAAAGACCTCACCCTACTGTAAAAAAAAGTTTGATGTGCTGTTATGCATGAATGGTTAAGATTATTGAAAAATTATTATATTATTATACTTAGAGACTAATGTTCACCATTTTTCTTGTACAAGGATTTAATGAATGAAAACAATCCACAAAAATGAAAGTGCTGTTGCTATATAGTATACTATTATATGAAATGATCATTGGAAATATTTTTTATTTAAGGTTATATTATACTAATTTCTAGAGCCCGACCGATTTATCGTTGTGCAGTTATCATCGGCCGATATCAGCTAATTGCAGATAAATCGTTATCGGTGTTTAGAACAGCCGACTTATTCATAAAAGATCCTTCACTCATGTCATGAGTGCATAGTTTGCACACCAGAGGGCACTCTGCAACTCCCTTGTGTTCACGGTGAGGTGAAGTTAGTTTTTTATACTGCATCATGTCTTGGTATTTTGGTATGGTCTCAACATAACAAATGTTAGGGATAATATTTGTTTTTTATGTGTTTCTTAAAATAAGGGAATAAAAGAATAGCGGTCATATATCGGCAAATCCTCAAATATTGAAATCCGTGTCAGATTTAAAAATGCTATATCGGTCGGACTTTACTATTTTCTACTAGTTCCTCCTCCAGGTTGTGGATAAAGCCTCTGTTTCAATATTTTAAAAAGCTTTGACGATATTTTAAGGCTCTTGGCAAGTGTCTAGATCAGTGGTTCTCAACCTTTTTTGGGCCAGCGCCCCCCTATCCATTATTTATTGTTGTTGTTACTATTTTTTGTAAAAAAATGGAAAAAAAACATAATTGAATGACAAACAACATATTAATTCCTTTCCCAGGTAACAAAAAAGCCAGAAACTGTGTGTGAAGCCAGAGACTGTTTTCTTGGGTGGGACACTTAATAAGTGGGGGTATGGGGGTCCTCCCCCAGAAGATTTCGAGCATTAATGCTTAATTTCCTGCATTCTGGTGAAAATTTCTGCTTTTTCTGCACCAATTTATGGTGGAAATGTCTTATTATATAAAGGGAAACACAAAATTCAGGTGGCAGGTTATTCAAAATATATATTTTTTGATATTGACTACCAGCTATATACAGCATGCTAGCCTTGAAAACCCAGCTGTATTCCAACATTAACTTAGCTCTCCTTATTAGCTAGGCTCCTTACATGCTTGCTTTTAACTTTTTTTAAGCAGGGTCTCCGACACTGACAGCCTTGTGTTGGACGGATTTGTGCAGCTGTGTTCATGAGGGACAGAGAGGGAGGGGGGGATGAGCAAGAGGATGTGCTGCGCGAATACGTGCTGCCTGCAGCTCTGCAGTCAAATACGATTTTAAATAGGCTTAGTAAAACCAATCGAAAATCAATGTGGTGGTCAGCGTTGATATTGCGGCGGGCCACCACAAATAAATGAACGTATGGGAAATTTCTGTAACTTACCTGCTCATGTTCAAAACTCTCTGCACATTTAGAATCTCTCCCACGTATCTGTGTTCTCTGACATGTAAAAAAATATATATATATTAGGAGACTAACGTCATTAGCCTATATAAGAGAATTTATAATATTTTACCACGTGCCCTATACTGCATTACGTTACTGATTCGCTGGAAGTATCCCCTCGACCGTATGGCATACACAGAACTGGATGAGACGGGGAAAAACTAAACTAACCGACAACACCTGTGATCAGGCAGAAATGTCACGAACAAGAACACAAATGTTAACTTCAGCACTTCTGATTAAGTGCCGCTTACAATCCCCAACAGAGCAAGACAGGGC